CATTTTTATTCAAAAATATGATGAATGAATGAAAAAAATTGTGACTTTTCAACCTTAAAATACAGTAATTCATAGGGAATGTTCATTACAAAAAATTATTGTATGTGGACATTTTTCTGAAATATTTGTTCTTTGGGCCCTTTCCTATAAGGGCATATAAAGATACATACCAAGCATGTAAAATAAGTTAGTACTTTTTATTTTTAAAAATGTGAACTTTTAACAGGTGTCCACCTGTCGACTAAGGAAGGAGCAACAAGCAGAAGATGGTGGTGATGATGAAGAATTAGACATTACAGATGAAGAAAATTAATTTTAAGTAAACTTCACATTTCCATTTTCATCTTAAATGACTTAAAATCCAGCACTACTGAAGTGTAAACTTTAGATTCACTTGATACGTTAAGCTTCAAAACAAAATTGTACTAGAAATGGAAAAATAAAGGAAATTTATGTTGACCGAAAATGAAGGTTTTAGAAAATATTACACACCAGTCATTTCAACATCGTACCTGGTGGTATGTGATCTTTTGCTATAACTGCCATTTTTAAAAAAAGATTATTTCCAATTACTTCATATTAATACAGTTACCTAGTTGAAGTTCAATAGTAAGTAGATGACAAAAACCAAAAGATCTAACAATTCCACTTTGTTTGAGATTACAGTCTATGTTTTCATCACCAGAAAAAGGACGTCCTAAACAGCTGTTCTGATTACATAAAAATTCTATTCCATGAAGCCTTAAGTGAAAAGTCTTGGTTTTTTTCTTACTTTCACTAAGACCTTATGTTTCATCATTTGATTTGTAAACTTACTTTTCAACAAGCATCTAATCAAACAGAATAAAGGTAATGGGACACTAAGACATCAGTGTTTTACAAATATACATAAAGCATAAATTTTAGCTTTCAAAAAAGCCACATTCACCCTGATTCTGGTTTTAAAACAAAACTGCTATCATACTAAAGCATTATACATGGTACTGCAACTTTTGGAAAGCTAGTAATTTGGTGGAATGTTGCCTCATCATGGAACACCATCAATCATTAAAAATTCTATAAAAACTTTAACCAAGCTACCATCTAATTAATAACAGGGTATATAGTCACTATTATTCCTGAAAGCATAAAATAATTTAACTATAGCCTTTCCATATATCTGATACTTTTGTTTCTTTTGGTGAAGAATTCTAATTTTGTTATTTCATAGATCCCAGTCAAACATATAAAAATTATGAAACTTACAAAATCATTTGGGATAACCAAGAAAAGCAATTATTCATAACAGGAAAATAAAGACTTTTCTAGAAAGCTTTTTTGACTTTGTCATTCATGGTTCTCTTCTTTACAAAGCACTGCTTCCTGAGAATAGTACTAAGTGATAAAATTACTTCAGTACTTCTTTTATGAAATATTCAAAACATTTTTTTTTTTTTTTTTTAAAGATGACCGGTAAGGGGATCTTAACCCTTGACTTGGTGTTGTCAGCACCACACTCACCCAGTGAGCAAACCGGCCATCCCTATATGGGATCCGAACCCATGGCCTTGGTGTTATCAGCACCGCACTCTACCGAGTGAGCCACGGGCCGGCCCTCAAAACATTTTAAAACCCTAAATTAATTGATATTCTTAAGAAACTGAGGATTGTCATAGAGTTTTTATTATTTTCTCAGTATTTAAATTTGGTGTTGTAGTTCAGGGGGAAAAAAACAGAGTTATAGTTATTTCTCTTGCTGCTTACTAAATAGCATCTTACTTCTTTTGAGTATGAATTGCCTTATCTGTAAAGTTAAGTGTCTAATATGTTAAGCAATTAGCAAATAATTCTGGAATAAAGCATATGCTCTGCCTACCTCAAAGAAATATTCTAAGAACAAAAGGAATACTATCCACGAAAATACTTCCATCAATGTAAAATTAAGTTTCACCATTTAGACCAGACTTAGGTTGGCAAATGTGTTCTTAAAGGGCCAGATGGTAAATATTTTTACACTCAGTGGGCCAAGAGGGAAAAACAAGGCTATTAAAAGGATAGTTATGTAACCATTTAGGATGTAACCACCTTTAAAAATGTAAAAACCATTCTCAGCTTCCCTGCTGTAATTAAAAAAAAAAAAGCAAACCAAACCATTCTCCATTTCTTATCTCCAAAATAGGAATAGTAAATTTATTAGGGTTATCAGGATTATGATAGTTAACTCATATATAATTACAGATCACAAATATATAGTATTTCAAGCAGTTCAATAAACAATAGCTAATATTTAACGCAAAGATAGAGACAGCAGGGTTACGGGTCCACTGCTCTTGACAGTGTTTAGTAATTGATAGAAGTACACTTAATGATTTTTACCTATCTCTTGGTTATGAGACTAAGTTTACTTTTTTAGATATAATCATACTTTTCAGATACCCTTAGACAAGTGTTTGGCTTTAAGATAAAATGTCATTGGGTGTCACACTAGAGGACCAATATGCCTCCAGTGTACCTGATATATCTAGAGGTAGGAGAGGAAAAACTGGCTATAAGATGAAAATTATTGAAGCTGGATGACAAGTACATGAGAATTTAGTACCTTATTCTCTTTAAGTGTTTGAAATTGGTGGTGTGCTGGTAAAATGGCTCTCTGAGGGGACAAAGGGAAGGGAATGCCCTCATTTGCTGCATTTACCAATTTCCATGGTGTAAATACTCCTACCTTGGCCAATTTAAGTTATCAACATATCACTGAAGGCAGTTAGAGATGTGCAAAAATGGCTCCCACCCAGTAGAAGCCAGCTTTCTGTAATAAACTTCTCATCATGAAGGTAAAAAATATTAAGCCCTGATATATTATGGAAATATTCACATCAATTAATTTTAAAATGAAAATACAAAGCTTGTGTTTACTGGGGCTGGCCAATTAGCTCAGCTGATTAGAATACAGCCTTCTAACACCAAAGTCATGGGTTCAGATCCCCATACCAGCCAACCACCAAAAAAAAAAGCTTGTGTTTACTATATCTGGCCTTTTATCAAGCACCTCCGCTCAGTTTGAGAAGCAATTCCACATTGTGATCTTTCACTGTAAGCTTAATCATCACTTTATTGCTATGTGAGAACTTTCTAAGTCTTCATACATTCCTCAAGAAGTGTCATCAAATGAACTACCTATACAATCTTTGAGCAATTAAAAACATGGTTTCTTCCTATTCTGTTCATTGTGCTTGGTTTGGATATTCCAAACAATCAGTTTATTCTCCTAGCTAGTTATAAGCTTACCTGTTCATAAAGGGCCATACTGAAGTGCTTTGTTAACCAAGTTTACCAGATTATTCATCGTACTAGTAAGCAGGATATTCACTACTAAAAACACAGAAATTTAAATGGTCTTTAGTTTTCTTTAAACCACTGAAAATTAACCCCAAATACTTATAGGTACTAAGTACTGACAAAGCATTCTACTTCTGCAATATCCTATTATTAAATGACTGAACTGCCATATATAAATTCAGTAAATCTTTACTCAATATGGAAAATCTCTGGATCACAGAATTGAGGAAAAATAACCTTATGTTTTATATAAACTATAAAAAGACAACTAAAGTCAAATCATGTTGGATAAAATGAATAATTTTGAATTAGAAGCCAATATATAATGTGAATATCCCAAGAAAATCCTGGATATAACAAAACTTTTTTTTTTTTT